ACCACGACGACGACGACGACGACCACCACCAGATTGCTGCCAAAAGCAGTCGACAAATTCGCCGCCACACAGCTGTCTTAGACATGCGCAATGCATTTACTAAACCGAGCTGGGACAGATAAGCTGCCGCCTTCTCCTTTCGCCGACGATTGGACTACCCCCTCCCCAACAAATAGAAAGAAAGCCATAACACTCATGCCGAGGAGATCTGCGCACGAACCCACTCTCCCCACGGACTACGGACCCGGCACAGCAATGAGATGCTGGCACAGGGGGAGGAACTTGGCGATCCAGGAGAAGTGCTGATGCTCAGATGCAACCACGGGCAGAAGTGATGTCACAAGCGAGGAAACAGGTTTCGGCGTCAGCGGCAAAGCTGAAACGGCATGATTCTCAATTGCCCTTTGTGGCACTTCTGTTGAGCTGACAAAGACGCGGCATCAACGCTACCAACCATCAACAGCAACACATCGCCGCCAGAACCATCATCATTATCCTCATCATCAACAGCAGCAACAGCTGAGCCTGCACGAGAATCAGCATCCATGGCATCAGCGGCAAAGACAAGGACAAGTAGCAAGGACGGCGACAACAGGGGCACAAGAGGAACCACGAGGAGGGGAACAAGAGCAAGGCCAAAGTTCAATCGCAGGGTAGCCATGGACGGGTGCCGAGCTTGGCTCTGAAAGAAGGAAACTGCGCCTTCAACTTTATTTCATGCCCCGCCTCCGAAGCCCCAAAGAATTGAAAACGCGACTTCCCAACCCCACCAAGGTCCAAATAACCCAAACAGAGCCCCTTACTGCTTCAACAACTTGCCGCCACTGGGGCAAGGTGGCGGCGTCGGTCAAAGTCGTAGAGGACCTTTCTCTATGCAAGGCACCGGCTGCTTTTAACTGCTCAAGCTTTCCTAAGCCTAAGAACTCTCTGACTTGCTGAGCTTTAGCAACAGCACCAAATCGCCTTCATGTGTTCCTGGCGCTCTTCGAACTCTTGGAAGACATGTTAACTCACCATTTCCGGCATGAGCGATGCGCCAAAACCGGAACGAACGTTTCAGACCAGGAAGCCCCGAAGCAGACCAGCACCGTTGTGAGTGCCAGCCTTGGAGAACGAGTTTCACGACTGCCCACCGCTCGCCGCTTTGATGAAATGCTGGGCTCAAACCTCCTCAACTACCTGAGCCACCTGGAAGGCCCCAGTGCACAAGAGTTCAGCTGTGACTGAAACTGCCTCCCAACACTTCCGTAGTTTCGAATTGTCAGCCATAAGTAAGTGCCCACAAAGCCTACACATGCGTGGCCTGCTACAGCAAGCATGGTCTTGAGGGTCCCAGGGTTCGTTCTCGGTCATGCATTCTTCACACGACCGGGTGGCACTGCGGCTGTGATTTGAAACATCCGAGAGGTCTGCCGCATGCAGCTGATGGCCTCAGATCCATGCCACGGGCCACCAGCTATGCTAAGTGAGCAGCCGTTTTGAAAACTCAAAAAACTCAGCTTCCTCTAGAAGCATACATCAAGCAACAAAACCAAAACAGCGCACTTTCATTGCTGTGGGCCTAGAGACTGTCTTGAGGCTGTTGCAGAGTGGTAAGTGAGAAAGAGAGATGTGAGACTCCCATTATCTCTGTTCCGGCACCTCCCGCCATCGCTGCCGCGCCTGGAGGTTGCTGACTTGACCTCCCACGTATCCAGGGGCATGGACTGAGGAACCCGTCACGGAAACCGCCGTGACAACAGCAGGACTCAATGTAGAAGGGTGCAAGTGAACTTTGAGGAAGACTGCACCCTCGAATAGAGCGATGACTACGCCTTGCATTCCTTCTTCTAAGTGCGAGCCACACGAAGCCGGACAAAGACACGGCGGGATAGAGAGACACTCCATGTGTGGAGTCGACAAACGCTCAGCCACACGTCCTCTGGCATAGATCATGCTTGATGCACGCGCAGACACCACAAGCATGTGATGAGCGAGATAGAGAGGCTCAGAGTGACAACCCGTCCTGAAACCGAAAAGTAAAGTCAAAGCTCAGGCAAGAATGCTGGCCCTTCCTGGCCTTCCAGGACGGACCGAGCAAAGGCCACCACCGTCAAGGAGATTCCACGCCACATGGACATCTGCACATAACAGGCCTCATTCATGCAGCGACGCATTACTATCACAATCATTGAAGGAGAATATGCTTGCGACACGGGGCGTGACATAGTTTCAGCACCAGTGCCACAAACCCCCCTGCACGTTGGAAGGGCTGCAAGCCGAGATGCTCCCAAGAGACAGGCGCAGGCCAGGGCGTAGAGCGCTTGCTTCCTAAGACAGGTCGTGCCCGAAAGTCGAAGCAATAGCTCAAAAGGCCTTTCTCCTTGGGATTCTCAATGGTTGCGCTGCGAGGCTCCCGGCTGCCATTGGTTCCATCAGCTCCGATCCTCGGGAGCTTCGTTCGTGTTTACGACTGCTCGCCTGCCAACCTCGAAAGAAACCTGAACTGGCCAGAAGGACTTGGGCGCAGCGCATGTCATAATTATACTATACTCGAGTTGGCCTTGAAGCTTGTGCAGCCCAGGGTCCAATGATCCATGAACGAGCAGCCAGCACAACGAGCCACGTGCCTCCCAGTGCCACTGCATCAACGCCTCTGCAGACTGACAAGGCTTGCAGACTGAGCTACGCACTGCCTGCTTCTCGGGAGAGGTTATGGCCACAAAGGGAGGGGGCAACCGCAACTCTAGCATCATCCGAAACTAGGCACGTGAGGATAGCTGCTGGAAGCACGCGATGATGACTCACGGATTCCCTGGTGCACATTTATGATTGTACAGCTTTGCACTGCCACTTGCCCTCTCTGTTCCCACCTTTCTGGCTTTTCCATTGGTGTGTCAGGCCAGTACCTCGGCAATGTCAGGCACAGGGAAGAGGACAGCTCTCCCAAAACTTTTTCGGCTGGCGGTACGGCGAGAATTCCGAAACATCAGGTCGAGAAAGCCGTGGGCATAGGCACTATGACCAGGAGTGTGTGAGCTTGATTCTATGTCTCAAAGACGCCCTATATCTGCATCCAAACTCGTTTTTTGGTGTGATTGCTTTCGCAAGACAGCAGTCAACTGAAATACGTCGAACCACTGTCGACTTCCTGCATGAGATGGTCCTGGATCTGCAGCTGCATCCTCAGACTTCACACCATGTTCGTTGCATGAGGACATAAAATGCACAAGGGGACTACGGGACGGCATCATGAGGCAAGGCTATCTCCTGAAGCTTTGCAGGCTAGGAGCCGCGAGCTTTTGAAGTAGCTGTACAACCCACCGCAAGACCAGACTGCAAGCCTCAGAGGGCAGCTGCGATGGTCCCGGCTCTTGCAAGGGCATTCGGCTTGAAAACTAAAGCAAGTACTGGCACCACCATGACAACAACTGCAATCGCCAGCGACCACCGGCCGAGACCCAACAAGCCACAACCGATATCCACAACCCACCAACAACCCCCAAAAAGCAACACGCCCAAACCACGACACGACCATTGCCGGAAACAGTACAACTAGACGCGCAAGGCTTGGGTCTTTTGCCTGGGTCTGGGCATCAGAAGCCGAGTGTCAGCGCCCCAACGCCGAAGGCCAGATCGGTCGCGAGGGGTTGGCAACACATGACCGAGGCCTCCATCCATGCATGCACATCTGATGCACATAACAACTATCGTCTCTCAGCATCTCTCAGCTCCCACTTCGCCGGCACGGAAAAAAACAAAGACACATGTGTCTGCGTGCGATCCAAGAAAGTTCAAACAGATAGAAACATGTACACGTGAGCCTTGGTACATAAGCATACGCATATTCACACGTCGGCCTAGCAAGTTGTTCAGTGTAGTGTTTCTTGAGGTCAGAAAGACATACATACATTATTAAAGCGTAACTTGACATCTAGCTCTCCATCGCATTTTCAGACCTGTCCACACGGTGGTGCGCAACTTCAGAGAGACGGGGACTGAAGGCATATTGATTGCTTCTGCCTGTGGCTTTCGGCCTGACCTGGAACAACCCGCACCATCACCGCAGGATGTCCGGTTGCACACGGGGTTCCCATTCGCTCAAACCTCTATCAAAACGTTCATCCGCACATGGACCCCCTTCTCCGTCAATTGAACTCTCAATACGCAACCAACCAAAACTATGCCGGATCTGCCTCGGTGTAAGCCTCGTCTGAAGCATCCAGATCTGAACACACCGCCAGAGAGGAGGCCGCCAGCACAACGAAAAGGAAATTCAGCAGAAGAATGACACCTTATTTTCAAACAGTCTAATGTGAAGCTGATCGTCCACCTCTTGGCATTCAACAAAGCCTCGGCGAAACCGTCTCGCATCCACCAACGAATTACCATGAGAGACATTGCACCACTGCACCACACATCTTCCCCGGGTGAAGCTCAATCCTGCTCTTCGGCGGCCTTCCTTGTGAGGTGCAAATGAATCCTCTCTTCGCTTCCTGTGCCTTGCTTGCAAGCCTTTCAATCAAAGCGATAACCTGAACTTACTTTACCCTCCTAGGGCCCATGGTTCGAGTCGTAGCGAGGCAAAGCCGACATGTCGGCACCTTGCGCGTGCAGGGTTGGATCGTCAAGCATATTCCTCTCATTCCGCCGCCTTCCCTTCCCAGAGTTCAGAAAAGTCGCAGTGGTACGCCTTAGAAGCGGCCAGAGCTCGCGGAGACGGAGCTGGGGACTCCGTAAACTCAGCGGACTCCTTGGATGCTTCGAGCAGTTCGTCAATCTCTAACTTCTGGCTTCTGCGGAAGACTTGATCAAACTACATTATGCATTACAAAACACGCGAAGATTGCGCACAGGGCCCTTGCATTGGACATGTTCTGTCGAGAGTCGGTGCGATGCTTCGGCAACTTCTTACATGCTGTAAGTCACGACAAGGGTTGGTTGGTTGGCGTATGCAGTTGAAAATGTCTCTCGCATCGCGAAGTTGCTTTCAGCAAACACCCCACCCACTGTGGGCCACCTGCAGGGGCCGCCCAAAGCACTATGAAAATCTGCGAGAAAATACCGGGTGTGGCTGCATGCTTCCCCAACGCAATTTTCCACCGTCCCTGTTCTGCCCTCTCAGGGGGTGGCGGTTGCAGCTTCAGCGAGTTGTCCTGCTGTTTTTCGGAAGTCTACGAAAGCCCTGCTGCCCTTTTGCTCCTTGCCTTCCAGACTCTGGTTTCCACTGCACCAAAGGAGTCAGCCCACAGAGTCTCATCCAAAGCCTCAGCTGCAAAGGCCAGTCAGCAAGAGGTACCACACACAGGATGTACAAACCCTTATCTAAGTCTGCGAAAGCAATCAAAAAGGTACAAGTAGGAAGCTCTCGCAAGCTGGACCCAACTTGCTGCGAGCGCCAGCGCTAGCTGCCATTGCTCTCATTGCATGCTTCCCGAACCCTCAGCTCTACAGCACAAGAAAAGCAGATCTTGAGGTCCCAGGCGCTCTACGAGGCCCTGACAGACGCGGAGAGCTTTGGGAGTTTGGACCGGCAGCACCTTCCAAGCAGGGCGTGCTACTGATCGGGATCGTGATGTGATGGCGATGACGGTCACGATAGCCATGACGATGTGTGCTGACGACAGGTAAGGGTTGTGGCTGTGACTGTAATATTTCGTCCTGCGACTTCAGCCTCAACTACGAAGGTACAAATCGTAGTTTGTGCTATCCACCGTAGGAGTATTTTGCAGTGAAACGACTTCAATCACTAGGTGTCTGATGATGGGCATGCTTGCACTGTGCTTGAACCTGCTTGCTGTGCTTATTTGTACCTTCAACCTCACCTTTCGTTTGTGATTATCATTGTCGGCCCTGTGACTGCTACCTTTTTCTACCTACTGCAACGCGCGCCTAAATCTCGGGCCCAAATATCAGAAGAAATGTCACTCGACGCATTGCTAAGAAAGCTGCTGCGACTTGCTAGCTGTCTGCACGACTGCAGACCGCAAATATTGCAGCGGGCACGGAGCAAGAACTAAGGAGAGACACGCCATGGCAAAATGCCACATGCCTCCAGTCTGACCGTCTCATCTGATGCCTCCGAGTTGAGATCCAATGCCTGAAATCATATTTCACGCCAGCAGGACGACATACTGTCAGCATGCAACACTGGTGTGATTTACTGCCCACAATGTGGAAACGACCATCTGGCTTTACTCCTCAATCCTGCTCGGTTTGCCTTTGTTTCCTCATCAACTGCTGCGTTGCCGCAGACAAGCTGCTCCGGAACATACGACAGCGTGGGTGGAGCTGCACCCGGGCGCACAGTATACACAAGTATACACATGTATACACCCTATCGGCCCCATCGCATCAACGAACCATCGGAGGATGTAATTGTGTTATATAATATATAGATATAATATATTTATATTATATATATATATATATATATTTATTTATTTATTTATTTATTTGTATGTATATTATATATATATATATATATATTTATTTATATTTATATTTTTATTTTTATTTATTTATTTAATTATTTATTTATTTACTTATTTATTTGTTTATTTAATATAACATACATATATATAGTATATATATGTATATATATTATAAAATATAATATATAAGGCAAGTTGCAGCCAGGTTCGGCAGCTTCGGGCTCCTTGGCTTTCCCGGCTGGACGGGCAGGGCGCTACTGCCCACACCATGCGACAAAGACTCTTCTTGCAGCTGGGCTCTGAAAATACCCCTTGTTTTTGCATCAGGACTTGTGCAATCGCCTGAACACTGACTTCCACAGAAAATGCCCTGAAACTTGATCTTGCCAGGATGTGTCTCCGAACAGAATTCAAGACCATGCTACCTCCTGAAGCTGCACTCAGTGACTGGGCGCAGCAGTCAACGCGAGATTTCAGCTCACAACTAAGCTAGATGCACAATCAGACGGGAAAGACGCACTGACCATAAACCGAGAAGCTTGAGACTTAACGCTCGCCAGGATCGACAGAGTTGTGAGAATCCCAATCTGCAAACCCTGACTGCATCTTGGCAGCTCTTTAGAGCGAATTTCGGGACTGGCAGGGATGAGCTGGGTCTCCCGGTGCTTGAACCTGCTCGAGTCTCGAATGCCACAGATGCCGATATTATCAATAGTAAGAACACAATATTTATCAGATTTTATCAGCATAAACAATTAAGACAATAAAGGTATTAGTAAGCATTATACCATGATCATAAACATAGCATTGTAAAGACAAAAGAAGGGCAAAGGTCGCACCGGCGCAAAGCAACGTCTACACCTCAGAGCCTTGAGACCTGGATACTACGACAAGATTGATGAACTATTGAAGCACTAAGAGCTGCGAGTGTGTAAGCTCCCGGCAGCTGGCTGAGGGACACCTCGCCTCAATGCGGTTCCGGTGTTCAGAGCATGGCAACGCGTCGTACGATTACGGCATCGCGTGCTAGTAACCGATGCCAGTGGGCCTCAAGGCAGCGTCAGGGCACACGATGTCCTAATTCGGGCTGGCGGCTATCTGTGTTACCATCACCGAAGACTCCGGAGGACTACTTCTGCAGCTGAGAGTCTCTGGGTCAATCCCGTGGAGCCAAGGAGACTCGCAGCGCCCCCGTCTGCAAAAAGACAGGTCAGGTGCAAGAGAACATCGGCATTCCGAGGCTTGTGCGCTGCACAAAAGGGTACAGCGGGTGGCTCCAGGGCTTCAGCGTGTGGTGAGTCTTTTTGTCTCGGCACTGCTCTTGGTAGCCCAGCGAGGTCCCGGGGATCAAAGATGGCAGAGGACTCAAGCACACTCACCGTATCAAATTACTACTGACGAGGACTCAGTTCCACAATCCCGGAAGCGGGTAAGTTCGCAGGGTCCGACTCGTATTCATGCAGGAATGCGACCCACAGCAGCTCTAGAGCAGAGCCTCGAAACATACTCTTTGCGGACTCGGAAGGCTTCATAGGCTCCAAGGCCAAACAGATTCGCACGAGATGAATCAGTAAACGGTTCGTGTTCTGATAGCTCGGGCACTCCATGCTGCCTGCGGTACGGCGTCGGGTTTATGATGGTTTTTGCCTCACCGGCTCCCCCCTAAGAAAAACAGAGCTGTCATTTTGATGGATGCCAGGCTTCCGCAACTTGGGTATCCAAGGGTAAGCGAAGCATTGGGCTTCGAGATGACCCATGATCAGCGCACCATCGCGTGGATGGGAATTCCGCCGGGCTGCTTGGGCTGCGGCCGGGCATGCCAGAAGACTTTGCCTCGACTGCGGTTCATGTTCTTGCCTCGCCGGCAAAACCCTGTTTTGGGGGGCTTCTGCTATTAATGGGCGTCGGGAGATAAAGATCTCAGGCTCCTCAGTCTAGACGAGCTGGATTGCAAGATTGCAAGCTATATGTTCCCCTCGAAGGCGAAGGTGACTCCTAGTGTTGCTATGGGCATCTCGAAACCTCTGAGCGAGCCACCTCAAGGTCACGGCTGCACTAAAAACCCACCACCCAGAAGCCCCTTTTCAGCCCAAGTGTCACGCGGTTCTCGTTCTCGTGTGAAAGACTCACCGGAGGGCTCGCTGGGTAGCATGGGGCAGTTACCTGGTGTTGCAGCATATCGCAACGTCTTCGCACAACTCACTCAGCGGAGAGAGAGCCCTTTCTGGGGAGAGAACTCCTGCCCAAAACCCCAAAGACTGTTTGCGAAACCGGGGCAATGAAGTCGCTCCGCTGTGTGGCCTACGTTGCCTTTTCGCGGTGCTAGCGGGGAACCTGTTGTGGTAGCGAAGTCTCGTCACGTCTGAGATGGCAAATTAATTTGCTCCATGCTCCGCTTGTGCTGCCATGTCGTGCCAGAACGACAGCTATTGCAAAAAGCTATTGTCACTCAGACAGAATGGAACGCCATGAACCGTCCGAACAAATCCTCCCTGTGTTGACACGTTTAGGCTGCTTGTTCAGCCAGTGTGCACTGCAGGCACTGCCTAGGCAACATTTCCCGGAGGACTCGCAGCAACAAGTCGAGCCGACCCTGCTCACTGCTGGCTCGGGCATGTGTTTCGTAGTTCCAATGTCCAAGCTGGAGCTGCGACACACATCCCCGAGCTGTTGAAAAGGTCGTGCCTCTCGTCCTTGTTGCAAGCTAGTAGCTGGGTGCATGTGGCTGAATATCCCCCGGCAGTGGAACCAACCTGAGATTCGGCAGAGTGGGGGTTGCGCCCATGTGCAGACCTGCTTCACACCCCAGAAACCACAAAACACACGAGTTCATGCCACAAAGAAGATGCACGTCGACGCCTTCAAACGACGTTGACAACGATACAAACATGCCGGGGCAGCGCTAGCAGAGACAAGCTGTGCTTTTTGTCCGGGTGATCAGCTTCCTCCTTGGCAAAACACACGCATCAGCATCAGCTCAGTCCCTCAAAAGATCATGTGCTAAGATGCTCAGACCTCATCAAACTCTGGCATCCGACTCGCGCACGCTGGCATCTGAGCGATGCGTCCATGACCCACGTCACTTCACCATTGCACGCTTTGCCAAAGTGAAAGACGTTGCGCCTTAAACATTTCCTAGCCCCAACCCTGAAGGACACAACGACGTACACCAATTGCAGGACGGGAATAGTCCAACCTACAAGCTTACTCATCTTACGCGTTTTCAAGGTCGAACTGGGTCGAAGTGTACATCTGAAACAAACACCGAACACGCCGTGACGACGTGGCTCGACCGATGCCGTCTTCGAAGGGAAGCCACCTCACACAACAACAGCTTCTGAATCAGAACCAATGCCCAGGTCTTAAGATGTCTTCGGTTGCATAGCTATTACTCTGCAACTAAGAACATGAATGCCACCGGCGCGGGATTCTGCAGGTGCAGCTGCTATCCAATACGGTACCAAAAAAGGCTACGGCCAATATGCAGAAATCCCGGCCAAGCCTCCCGTGAGCCATTGGAGAGTAAGTGCGATGTTCAAAATCCCCGGAGGAGACCCTCTCCACGTCGTTAAGTTCAGAAGCGTTATGTCAGAAGCGACCGTGCCTGCAGTCGTCGGTGGAATCCTAGCCGACTTCGGCGATGTTGGTTTCGAGCCTCCCGGAATTTGCAGCAAACACGGCAAGGCCAGCACACAGCAACTTGTCCGCAATATGCAGGACACTCCTACTACCGAAACCTTTTGACATCTTCAGCAACCGCACACGCAGAGATCTAGCAGATGCAAACATCACTTGGTATTTTCATATGTCTGTTTGCGGGGAAACTCACTTCTACGACGTCCCAATAGGTTGAGAATAACTGCTCACAAAGTCACAGAACACGTCAAAAACGGCAGCTCAACCAACTCTAAACCGGCAATCTACAAGGCAGCGACGAACTGGCTCACAGCTGCACAAAAGCCAACTATCCAGTGTGCAGCCGTCTCTCGAACTTTGCCTTCCCCTCCTCGCGCACGAAACTTCCGCGCAGCCCTGGGAAAGGTCCGGTCATGAGGCTGACGAACATGTTTCTCCAATTATTCAAGCTCGCAGAATCCTGGCGATCAACATTGCGGTTGCTGGAGTCGGACTGCCGAAGCGGGCACGAAAGCTCAAACCGATCAGCGCATGTCACTGCACACCGTGAATCCATCAAGGCATCTACCCCTTTCATTAGATGCAATTCAGAACAGCGACTTCATGACTTTGAGGCCCAAGGTTTGATCAAGGTCGTCGAAGTTCGGCTTGTCGCCCAGACCACCAGAGCCAACACCACCGGAGCCTCAGGATGCCGGCGGGAAGCCCGGTAGCATCAGCGAGCCGAACTAGTTGGCTTCCAACCCTGCCCAACAAACGGCCCAAACAGGCATTGCCCACATGGCCGATTTACTGATATTGCAACAAGTCTACTCCCTGTTACTCCCTGGAGCATCTGCAGCCGAGATACGCTCAGGAATATCAAGTCCCGCGTCCAGCTTGCAGGTGGACTGTTTCTTCGACAATGCTCTTGAAAGCGAAATGATGGATGCCTCACCCAAGCACAATGGACTTTCTGAGCCCTGACTATCGTGGCATGGATGCCGAGGTGTAGTCTCGATCGTGATGCAGCCGAACCCAACCAGGTGACAAAACAGGGCCCCGGCTGCAAAAGCTGGATTCTCAACTCTGTCAGGACGGTACAGTCTGGTCAACCCAAACCATCCCGAACCAATCGGTGAGGTCCGCTCGTCGTTGATAAAAGCGCATGAGCCGCATAAGGCTTCGAGAGTGCTGGTGGCATTGGTTTAGGAGTCTAGGAGCGCACCCTTTTAACGGAAGTTGTTTTTGTTGGGTGATCTTTTTCCGCGTCCTGCAGGGTGTAGACCGTCGACCGTCTCCTCGAAACGAGGCCTACTCTATAAGCCAATGCTCGTTATGTCGTTACACCCCGTAGTTGTGCTTGCTCTAGCTTGCTGCTATCATCCTGCCATCGACAAACAGACACGTAGTACAGACGTGCTGTGGTTGCAGGTCCTGGTCGTGTGCAACTCGCACTCCTCACAAAGTCATGTCAGCACAGCAACGCCGCGATGATGTGAAGCTGAAGCCCTCCGATCCCAACGGAAAAACACTACGTCTGTTTGAAGCCTCTGTGTTTGGCGTGCATCGGTGCTCTAACCTCGTGCGGTCGATGCAAGGTGCACCTGCGCGTGCATCTAAGCGAGATCTGAGCGTACTGCCCTCCAGGTTTAGGTGTTTGTGATTTGTGTACATGCGTGGCAGCAATTCTGCTCACAGGGCTGGCTAGTGTGTCTTGTGGGCAACACGTGTGTTGACTTGTCTTAGCACGATTTCGGCCCATTTTCGCTTTTCCCACCCTCCACATCCCTCGAAAATGGGGGGGGCACCGGATTTCGTGCGACTAGACCTGGCGAGTGTGTCATGGTCCAGGGGGACGAGTGTGCCTCCCTAGTTGTCGTGCTTTTGGATGTCTAGATTTTGTGCTCTGGACTACCGACCACCATTCAGCAAAACATGTCAAAGACTGTTCAAGTACAGGGAAGATCTCGTGTTACAGCATGCTGTGGCTGAATACACCTCAACACAATAACTCCGCGGGTGCCGACAACTGACACTCGAAATCAATCTCTGCGTGCGACAGCGTCTAGGCTCGGTCTAGTCGGCAGAAACCTGAGGCCGCGGCCTTGCGCTTTAAGACAGTCGTCGGCGACCGGTCGTTCAACAACATTTTCCTGAGCTTGGCATGTCGGAGTCGACACATTTTTTTGCCAAGTGCATCTACAAAACGGAACACAATATAAGTTGCCATGAAGGGAAAAGCGACTGGCATCTCCACTCGCTCATCCCTAGACCACCGCCCCGGTGTGGACATGTCATGTAGCTTTGTAAAAAGCCGTTTCCACCGAAAGCGACGCTTCAGCATGCATAGCCAGCTTACCGCGACACATGATGTCACGTCGTCAAGTCAAAGGACAAAGCACAAAACCCCCAACACAACTACATAATGCTGTTAAGTTCCGGATTTTATAGCAGAGGTTTGTTTTTTTAGCCTGCACGGAAATGTTTTGGCTACGTTTGTCTTACTGCAGCGCCGGCTCGCGGTCCCGATCAGGAGTACCGTTCGATAGAACAACAAGGCCCCCGGTTCCGCATTGAGAGAAGAGTTCCAGTTAGGTGAGAATATAATTGAGAATATAATTTTTCGTTACACACACCCTTCTCTGCACTTGATGCGCTGCGACAACTATGACGCTATTTGATTTTTGAATTAAGCGGACTCTTCGAGCTGCCCAACGAAAGGTGAACCAGCCGCGGTCGCAGCATACCTGATGGACCACGGGTTGCGCAACAATCCCGTGTCAGGGCCACAGCGGCAGGCGGCTTTGGTCGGCGGGGGCATCGTAGTGGAGCAAGGTGTTTAGCGGCGGGCCGTCGCAGGTTTCTGGTTGCAGCGGGTGCAACCAAGGGCGCCCCAACGCCGGCTGGCGACGGCCTGCTGCACCGCAACTGACAACATGCCCCACCAGCCGCGCGGAGGGGGTGCGGGGCTTTGTAAGCTTTCAGCCTCACCAAGTATTTCACGAAAGTGCGCGCCTGGTCGTCCTCCGCGCAGACCTCCGCCGGCACTGCGAGCTCCGGCAAAGCTGCGTGGGACCGCCGCTGGTGGAGCGTGCTTTCCGTGGCCGTCCAAAAAGCCGTCGGCCACACGGCGCCCGGGCCGTGCCGGAACCGGCACATACTGATGTGCCGGCCCTGGACGCGGGCCTCGACCTAGCCGACGCGGACGGGCCGAGCCGCCTGCCTTTGCGCTGAACCGGCCCTAATCCGGGACCGTGTTTTGCTAGGGAACTGGACCCAGCTGCTGGCGGAAAATGATGCGAAAAAAAACCCAAAAACACATCTGTGGCATTTCAGCAAACACTAAATCAAACCAGCCATACCCCGTGTGTTCGATTCAGCAAGCACCCGCTCCAGAGAAACATCAGCGACATCGCATCAAACAGCATATCAATACTAGCCGTTTTCCATGTGGACGCACGACTTCGTAAGCACCCGCACAATGAACATACTACTGGCATCGCAACAAGCCGCACATCGAAACCAGCCATTCCCCCGGTAGACACTCGATTTCAGTAGCCCGGAACACATCAGAGGGAACGCAGCATACACCCAAATCAAAAACAGCAAACAAAAGCATGGGCCATACCCCATGTAGACACTACTAGCAAGCACCCGCCCCAGAAACACTCAGCGACATAGCATCAAACAGCAAATCAAAACTATCCATTCCTTAGGTAAATGCTCGCCAGCTCCATGCCAACAATTCCGAAGCCCCGGTATACCTCCTGGTCCTAGATCATTTCCAACTTCCAACATCCCTGTCAAATGCGACTTCTGCCAAGCCAGACCTCCTCCCTATCTCCCGAAAGAGCAAAAAAATCGAACCCACCCCAGTATGGTTCTGAGTCGCAAATGTATAAAACCACAACAAATTGCACTTTGAGGTCTTACGACAGATCTTCAAAACTAAAAGCTCCTTCTACCAGGATTCTACCATACAGTAACTGAACCCTCGGATGCCGACTGCTCCAATGAGTATCTTGCCCAGCTCGCTTATGAAAAGGCCCCCAAGCAAACAATGGCTTCCACTAGAATAGCTTAGGTAAGACTAAAACAACGACATGCGATGCAAACATTTGCGTACTTTTCAGACGGACGCGCTTACCGTCGACTTCCTAAAAAAAGACCAGGCCACCCTCGTATACGTTGGGCTGAGCTTACCATGACCCAAGCTTGCCACTGCGACAACATAAATGTCGTCGAGGTAGGCAAAGACGGCTTCGCCCTCACGCAGTTGCGCATGAACCGCTGCGAGGGCTGGTTGTTGAGCGATGGCGCTGCGGGCCGGCATAAGCGGGTCGCCTTGTTCGCCGCCCTCAGATTGCCGAACCTCGTGGGACTGCCTGCTCGCGTCCTGCCACACGTACGTGCTGTCGGAAGCGAAACACTGGCGCACGTAAGGCAGCAGCGGCCGCCTGAGGCCAGCACATCGTGTACCTAGACACATGATCAAACGCTCCGAATGTATCGATCGACAGCAGGCTGCACGCGGGTCCATGTCAGTGGCAACGCGGAGGAGGCGGACCAGCGCCTCTAGGTGCTCAGGCCAAATTGAAAAGGCATGCAAGCGGCTTGCATGCTCTTGCGCGAGCGCACGCCCGACATAGCCGCCGCAGCACGTCGCCAACAACAAGGGCCCGCTCGCGACCGTTGCAACGGGCTTGCGCAGGGCGACCATGCGGCCGCCTCGGACGGCAGCGACGACCGGCGTTGGCACGTCAGCACGTGCAAGCTGCTCAGCTTCGTCATCGAGCAATACAGTATGCACAAGTGTTCGTTGGTGATGCCTGGGGGTCCAGCGACCGAGCCTCCTCGGATGATTCGGGCGGTTCGCAGGGATGCGAGGAACGGACGCAAGGGAAGCGCACACTGCTCTTCTGGCCTGAACGCGAGGATCTCGGGATCGGGAGGTGCATAAGGAGCTTAGGGTCGATTCTCGGGGTCACGGAGCTCTTGGAGCGTGTCGGGGAAGGTTGGGAGACGAGGGCCGGTGCAGCGGCTGACAGCTCCCCGAGGTGCACGCCTCGTCCGAGCGGCACGCGCGGAGTCAGGCTCAGGAGTCCGCATAGTTGCCTTGGCAGCAGCGAGAAATCAAGGCCACTCACCGCGACGGAAGATCCACAGCGGCACTGGAGCTCTGCGGAAGGGGATGCGGGCCTCGGCTGGGGCGAGGTGCAGCAGCATGTGGGCGGCGAGGCGAAACCCTACACCTCAACCCCACGTCTATGACCTTCCAAACCCGACAGGCCCTAAACCCAAAACCCAGCTTAGCCTTACACACTGCAGGCTGGCATCGGGGGTTCGCTTGTCTTCGCTCGTGGCTCACGCACCCTACCACCCCTTTGTTCTTCAATTTGTAGGCCTAGGTATGCCTCACCGGCAGATTTTGCAGTGTGAGGACGCGCTTGCGAAGCGTGGCCGCGAGATCTATGGCATCAAGAGCCTGCTGGCCCGCATGGAAAACCGCCTCAACGGAAAGCACCCGTCGCTGGGATGCTGTGGTGGGTTCGGGCACGGGTTTCCAGCTTCGGTTTCCTCCGCGGCAGGTGACGCGCGCTGCCGCGGACCTGACGAGCGCTCACCGTCTGCACCATCGTCCGATGGAGTAGAGCCTTGAGGGCCGTTTGACGCCTCTGCCAATTTGAGGGCCGCGCGTCATTCCGCTGGCGCTCGTCTGCGGGGACTGCAGTGTAGGTAGGAGCTGGCGTGTGCGAGGGCAAGCGGGGTCCTGCGAGTCAGCGGGCGCAAGCCGTGCCCTGGCCGTGACGCTGCGTCAAGGTTTGCGGCGGTAGCTTCGGCGCTTGGAGGTAAACGCCGTCGAGAAACGCCGCCGAGCATTCTCGGGGCATAGCTGCGCGTCGGCGGCGGCGAGGGCGTCGTGTTGGCCAAGCGCACAAGGGCGCGGGGT